GAACAGGGCAGAAGGGTGCCAAACAGGGAGCAGGATGACCCCTCACCGAAGGGGTTTTTTGCCTAAAACCTGAGAGGCAATCCCAGCGCCATTAGAGATCTGCTGACCAGGTGCTCCTATGAAGAAGTGCACATTAGAACACAGGTGTTGGTTTTACCCTCACTCACACACAGGACCAAGGGTTCAGCAGCTGGGCAGCCCTATGATGTAGGTGACACAGGTATGATCACTACCAATGGGATGGCTAAAGCTCAGAAATGAAGTGGCTTTCCCAAAGTCAAATTGCTATGAAGTGGTAAGACTAGGTCTAAACCCTAGTGTTTCAACTACAGTCTGGGGTTTACGCCACTATTTGAGCCACATGTGCACCGACCATAAATAAAGGGGCCTCGCATTGAGGGTGCTCCCCAGATCTACTTACTTCTGTCTTTAGTGAATTGTTGTAACACAGAAAATAAGGCAGCTTGCAGAGGTGCGACTGACAAGTCGGAGCCACACAGACCTTAGTGAAGATACTGGCACCACTGACAAAGCCGAGTCTCTCAATTCTAAAACCCAGCTGATCGTAAGCTATACCACCAATTTAATAACATTTCGAAAAAGGAAGGAAAAACTACATGGAATGTACAGATGCACTATGAAAACCCATTTGGTTATCAAATATGATTAAAATAGCTTTTAGAAGTAAGAAAGCCAGGTGGCAATTAAGTGTAAAAGGTAAGCTGTAACTTAGGATTGAAAGTGATCTCAGGTAATAATGTTCAGTTATTTTACAGATGAAGAAACGGAGGCTTGGTCCTATCAAGGAATTGAATCTTACTCCAGTCCTTCATCTAGTCCCAGAATTATATATATATATATATATATATATATATATATATACACACACACACACACACACACACACACACACACACAGTCATCATAATTACATACAACCCTAGAAGACTGTGTGGTGGTTGAGTTTGTCTCACACAGACGCCTGCCAGCCCCAAATCTGGCTGGCAGATGAAGGAGACAAAGGCAGTGAGTGACCAAACTGGTCCCATAGTCCTAGGAACCCTTTAACATGAGGAAAGGAAACTGTGAAGCAAAACATAATTTAGAGCATCAACAACTATGGAAATCAGTGACCTTTTTCCCTTTTGTGAGAATATTTCAGAGTCAATGCAAATGGTTCCTGGTTCCATCACCAACTATATAAATATTCCTACTTAAACTTACTGCCTCCGAACAACATGGGAAACAAAGGAAAAGTTTTTAAAAAGCTAGCGTTAGACATTAATGTGGACTTACAAAAATAAGGTGAAGCTTCTTTCCGTACAGATGGATTCTCTCTATAGCATGCCTTTCAAACAGTAAAATCCTGTAATGCATTTAAAATAAGATGTGCATGACTAAAATTTTGGAATGTGTCTCCTGAATAAAACAATATATGTTTGTAAGTGAAAAGTGCTTCCTTTAATTTGACTTGGACAAAGAGAAATTCTGATCACATTAATACATAAATACAGGATTAGACACTGATCAGGCATAACCTTTCCTCTCAGCAGACACTTCTAGGAAACACCCAATTAAGGGAAGAAAAGGGATTATAGTGAGAACTAGGGTAAAAACAGATTTGTAGAGGTTTTCTTTTTTGTTTGGGGGGTGGGGTGGGGGAATAGAGTTGGCAGAAAGAATTTGAACAAAGTTGTTACACTTTCCCCTGTTAAGACTCTTTTAGACAAAGCCCTAGGGTACTCCCTGGTTTGCTAGGAACTCCGCCTTAGAAGCTCATTCAATGGAACTCAGTCACTGGAAGTGCTTAGTTTAATTCACATTTCAAATTTAAGAGCTTCAAACAGAAGGCATATTTTTAAGAGTTCAAAGTTGGCAGTCTATCCAAGAAAGAAATTACTTTTCAAATCACTGTGTTCAAATGCTTAGAACTTCCCACTGCTTGCAATTTAAAGTGCTTTGGCTGGTTTTAAGTTTTCTCTTGTAATAAGGAGTTTGTGCTTCTTATAGCAATTAAAACTATTTCCTACACCAAGACATCTATGTAAGTCCCCCTCCCCCAGTAAAAACTAAAAATCTGGCTGAAAACTCCAGTTATATTTCATACATAAAATTACTTCTATTGTAAAGAGCTATATCTGAGATAATACAGCCACCCCACTGTGCGTTCTCCCTGGTTTACTTAGAAAATCTATGTAATCAACAGTGTCAGGGTGCAACAAAGATCCATGGCCATTCTTCAACACGGTGTGGAAGACTCAATAATTAACAGTGTTCTAGGGCTACAAGAGTCCTGTAATTTGCCCATGGAGACAGGTTTTGGTGAGTGGAGAGAAGGAAAGCTCACATGTGGTAGGCCGGAGTATAAAATAATGGAATCTATGTGATTTATCTGAAAGGATTTGCTCTCAAAAGCCATGGGTAGGGAGTTCCTGTGGACAGGGAGCTGTTCAGATGCTTCACACACAAGTAAATCTTTGTAACACAAGTGGGTCACATATTCATGTCCTAACAAATTGATACGTAAATACAAATCAAGTTCGATGCCAGATTCATATGACCCATGGTAAAATTTACACATCAACATCTCCCAACCCACAAAACCGTGCTCAAAGACACGCAAACGACCTGCCACCACTTCCTTCGCATATCTATTCTGATGCGCTCCCCAAGCCACCCCCACCTCCCCCCAGTACTGCCCACTGGTATTTGGTGCAAGCATGGAGAGTTCAAAGCATAAGCAGTTCAGGATGCACCAGAAGACAGGTGAAAATATAGGCAAGAGATCACTTAGAACTAACTTTGAAAGAGAGTTTGATTTCAAAGTTCATGGGTAAAAAACAGCCCTATTCTACTCTCTTGTTGAAGAATAAATATCCATAACATTCATTTCACTCTTAAACAAAGTTGCTTTACTAATGACTACAATGTTTTTTAATGACATTAGACAGGATGTCTTTTGAAAACCAAACTACATACTGTGAAAGTTGACAACTTGGAAATTAATAAATTTAACACTTTCATAACTCAACAAACTCACAAGAAAGCTGAGGGGATGGGCAAGTGAACCCCCAAATGCAATACAAAACAGTGTAATGATTGCTGGGGGGGCACAGGGGCAGTGTGCATTCTCCTGGGGGGGGGGGGAGGCAGCTGCACGCTGCGCCTGCGTGTGGAAGAGGCTCCCCCCGGAGGTGCCATTCTCCCTGGGCCTTTCTGAAGGAGTGGGAATGGGGGGCGGGGGGTTCAGGGACGCTGGGCAGGATGTGACCAAACGGCAGCAGGTATGGGAAGCTCGTGGGGCTAGAGCTCGGGAAAGGGAGAGCAGCTGGACAAGGTTTTGAGATTAAAAACTAGAAAATGGGTCTGAGTTCCCAAATGTGTTGGGATTAAAAGTATTCCAGGACTTGAATCTCGGAAAACAGACAGGGAGCACCAACAGCGACAGGACCGCACCTATAGTTCAAGTTGCTAAACGTACCGCTACAAAGTAAACTTGTATCTACAGGAACTCTTCAAGAACTCTTTTCGGGGTGTACGCTTATCTGTGGTTATTTCAGGCAACAATGGTTCCCCCCTCCCTTTTCAAAACGTTTGTGCTTTTACCACTAATCATCAAAAGTTATCATAGGCCTGAAGGAAAAAAGTTTCGGCCGTCAACGGGATCCTGATGGTCCCACGCCGCAGCCTGCAGACCTCTAACGCCACGTTTAACTAACGTATCAAAATCGTTTTCAAAAGGTCCTGATGAAAATCGCAATCACAGCCAACCAGTTCACCTTCCCACTATTATAGATCGCCCCCCGAGGGTGAATTTCATTTGGCAAGTTCATAAAAATTAACTTCAAAGAACACATTTTCACTCCCTCGTTATTCCTCAAGTCCCCCCCCCCACCCTCAATGGATGGGAATTAAGAGCGGGGCGACGTGAACCCGAATAGAGCGCGCGAGCGAACCGCTCCGGGTCCAACGTGCTCCTCGAGCAGCGAGCTGGCCCGAGCGGTCAGCACCTCCCCCCGCTCACGGGGGCTCACGGGGGCGAGCGACGCCCGCACCCCTCGTCTCCGGATGTGTGGCAGGACCGGCGCTCCGGGAAGACCCGTGCGTTTCCTCGGGACCCGAGCCCCGGCCACAAGCCGGCGCCGCAGCCGCTGTCAACCGAGAGACGGAGACGGGTGGGGGGACGGGCCCGGGAGGCGAGCAGAAAGGAGGCTCCAGCCCAAACAAAAACAAGCCGAAGTTGAACGCGGCAGAGGGAGCAGATTGGGCGAGACCGTTCACGGCTGCCCATTGGAGAAGAGGGAAAACAGAGTCCCCCAATCGCGAGCGGCGGGGCTGCTCCCCTCGTGCGGCCGCGGGCCGGCCCGGCGCTGCCCGGCGGCCGCTACCGCTCCCTTCCGGCGGCGGCGCCCACTGCAGGCCCATCCCCCCAATTCCCCAATAAAAATCTTTAAAAAAAAAAAAAAGAAAAATAATTGCTAACATTTAAAAAAAAAAAAAAAGAAAATAACTAAAATTGACTTAAATTTTGCACTTTTCTCCAAGTCTGTTGGAATTTCATCTTTGGGGGGAAAGAAAAGCACAAGTAATTCACTTTCTGAGTTGTAACATTTTTCAGGGTCCCAAATTATAGATAGGTTTCAATACT